CTTGTCGGCTATGATGTATGTCTTCTACCCGTTTGATATCTAGGTAAATAAATACTGCTTTAATTATTTTTATTCACGCTACACATTTCCGTAAACATATTACGATGTAGAGAACATTTAGTGTAAATTTGGAATACATTGTGCGGAGACACAAAATGAAAAGAGACCGTAGACAAACCACAACAAGAGCCTCATCTGTTTGTGTCCTCCTTCGTCTCCATCTTGACTGACAAGTGGTCCCGTTGTCTCTGATTGGCTGTCTGTGCCTTGGGGGTGATGGGATGCTCAGAGGGGGGGGTTGGGGGTGGTTTCTCTCCCCCCCCCAGGACGAGCAGCCACCATCTGCTGGTAAGGTGACACCACCAGTGGGGGGCCGAGAGTCCAGCTGGGAGGACACTGGAGACCAGAGGGCAGACACGGGAGCTGAAAGCCATTAGACATTGTCAATAAAATCCCGAGCTCCTCCAGCTATGTGATTCACAGGATAATTGAAAGGTTGATTACAGCAAGAGGTTTATTGTGCATAGTTTATTTTCAATTAGTCGCTTAATTACAGCATACAGGTTTGGCTAGGTAATGCTCAATCTGTCGAATAAACGCAGGACTTGAGTTGGATTTGTAAAGAAGTTGCCTCTTCCTCTGTTTATATTCTCTTTAAATTGCAACCAGTGTGAGTTGCTACCAATATTTAAAATCTTTGAATTTATTTCGAGCATTCAGTGCATCTGTTCTTTTGTAATTTTGCCACATTTCTTGCTGCTAATATTTGCCTTGTTTGAGTCCGGTCCTTAGTGGAGTGTGAGAAACTGGAGCCATCTGCGTCTTTCTAGGGAATTCATTACTGCAGATGCTGAGGCTAAAAGGTCTCCACTATAGCCGCTATAAATCAGCACTGCGTAAACCAAATATCTGAGCAAAACTGAATGAAAAAAAAAAACACGACTGTGGTTGTTTATTCCAGGGAGATGATAAATGTGCATCACAACATTAAAGCCGAGATAAATCAAGTAATGAGTTTATCGTACTTCAGAGTTGATGCGTGTGTTTGTTGTATATTCTTGTTTTAATACACTTTCCTCCAAAATATACTTAAACAACATTCTTTAACAGTTGTGAAGAGCATTGACGATGGATTTTTTATCACCTACTTTGCTGTAATACTGCACCATGGTTCCAGATGTCTGCACAACTCTGAGATTCTACTGATTTAACTCTCCCAATGTATACTTACGTTACATATTTTTCACATTTTTGCAAAACTTTCGGGATGAATTCTGATTTATTTTACTCTTTTCTTGAGACCAGCTCCTGCTATGAAACATGTTATGGGTAATTAACAAAATCTAGTTGATTTGAAGGTGTAATTAGTGCTTTATTTTCACTTTAGAATAGTTCAAAATGTCCTTTTATGTAGGTATTTTAGATTTTATGTATTTTTGTATAGAACAGGTGACTTTTAAAATACAACAGCAGAGACACTTTAGCCCAAAATCGGAACTACTTTGTGCTACACAAACATTAACTTTTATTTTTGACCGTTTCAGGGTGCAACTAAATTTAAAACTCATGGTGATTTTTGATTAAACAGTCCTCAGTGACTTTCTATTATCGAAGCAGTCTTTACTACACCAATAAAAAAGTAGTACTCCCCAGTTACCTGAATACCTTCATGTCATCATTCATGCGACACGTACCCACAGTGAAAATGTGCAGCTGCCTGTACAATGGAGTACTTTGCGTTTCTGAAGCTTTTGTTTTGGATGCAAAGACAAGGAGAACACTCGACACACTCTCGCCAGTATTCGCATCTCATTTGTCACGCAAGGATGCGAGCGTGGTTATGCAGATTTCTGAGGAGACAGGTGGTGAAGAGAGCTGCCTCTTTTTTATCGGTGGTACATGTCTTGATTTTGTACAGCTAAGTAATTTCCACACCTGATTTGTGCTGCACATGAACACATCTGATCTGGATCCATCTCCTTCAAATGTGTCCGTCCATGCATTGTTGTACTGCGCTCCAGTTTAGTATGCAGAGTTATTAAACGTGCTGGACTTGAGCATGGTATAGAGTAGCAAGTGTGAAAGTGCCCTTAGTCTTCTGCTACGTACTTGTTTTAAAGTTTAGATCTGTTGGGATTATTCTATAACAGAGACAACTTCAAAAATTCATTTGTAGAGGCTGACACTGAATACATAGAACCTTTAACCCCACAATTGAAACTTTAATATCCCTTTGTATCTGTTGTCATGACCAGAAAACACATTACAAGATTCCTTCAAACCAATCCTGCTGCCAAACCCGACCTGAGACTTGATATTGTTTTGAAAAACCTCTGATTTCTCCAAGAAGTGGCCTGTGCTGCACAAAATTTAAGCTCTAAAATGCCTGTCAGGATTGTAAACTACTTTTCCTCTACCTGCAGCGAACCCTGTTGGCAGGTTATTTGATTTGTGCAACAACAAAAAAAAAAACTCCAACCCAACCTGCTTTTCTTTTACTTCATTGTTCCAGAAATGTTCGACTTTGTTTCAATAGTTCGCTGAATGTTCCCAGATGGCGTCTACATAATCTTCCATCAAACCTGTGTAAACACTGTCGTGACACATTTTCTAATGTTTCCCTGAAATACCTTCACAGAAGATCATCTAAGGTTCCTGCGTTGCAATATTCTGTCAACAGAACAGCAGAGGTGATCTGGGAACTTTTCTATACCTTTGACCCGAAGAAATATTTCTTTAGGGAATGTATGGAAATGTTACTTTTTAACCCTTCCCAGCATGTTTTTCCCCACGCGTTGTTAATGGTTGTATGCGGTGAGGTATTTTCAAAGGAAAGAGGTGGTGAGAGAGATAAGACAGACCTACATCTAGAATTCCATATCTTGTATGCGCAGTTTAGAAAGTCAGCCGGCACACTGAGCTGTGCTACTTGGCTTGTGAAAAAGCTTTGTAGGATCACGTCTTCTGAATCTCTGATGTCTCTTTGTCAAGTCAAAGAAAATAACCCCTGATGATGCCAGAGCAATGTAAGATTAGGCTTTCTCTGAGATTACACTCAAAGAGACTCAGAAAGCTGAAGTTGTGAAATTTGAAAGGTGAATTTCCCAGGAAGGGTTGAACAAAGAAATCGTGTTGAGCTTTGGTGCGAGAAAAGTTGGAGCTTGCCCCAGAATAAAAAGCATAAAATCTTGGCTTCTGCTGTATTGATTTGACCATTCATCTTCCCAGTGCCTTCCTCTTTACTATATATTCCCTCTGCTGTTTTATTCGACAGTCTGAATTGTGAATTTGTAAAAAATATTATGAATTTAATGCATTCTGATGTCCTGTAATGAAGCAACAACAACAACTTTCTGCTACAATTCCTCAATGCACATTTTATTAACGCAGAAATGAAATCATGACAATGCTGAAGTGTCTGAAATCTCACTTTTCTGCTATGTAGAAAAAAAATGGCTGAATGAACAAGCCTTGTAGTTTCTCTGGTGACATCAACTGAGGAAACTTTACAGAGGTTCTTCTGCTTGACACAAAATACTTTACACACCTTTGTTTCACCTAAACATAAGCAGCAGTTCTTTCCAAGACAGTCAATCTCAGTTTACTGCCAGTATTAAGATGCAATCTATGGGCAGGAAGCCAACTAAAGAAAAACCAAAGTGTCGTAGTGATGCATTGGGTCACCACAAGCTGCCAGATCAGCTGCAGTGCACCCTGGCATTGATTCTCCAAGTCTCTGGAAATCTACAGGAGGGATCCATCCATCCATTATCTATACACCGCTTAATCCTCACTAGGGTCGCAGGGGGCTGGAGTCTATCCCACTTAGGGTGAAGGCAGGGGACACCCTGGACAGGTCACCAGTCCATCACAGGGCTAGACTTAGAGACAGACAACCAAGCACACTCACATTCACACCTACGGACAATTTAGAATCACCAATTAACCTGTTATTGGACTGTGTGGGAGGAAGCCAGAGAACCCACGTTGCACGGGGAGAACATGCAAACTCCACACAGAAAGATCCCGATGCCCCCACCAGATGCGAACCGGTGACCTTCTTGCTGCGAGGCAGTGCTGCCAACCACCTTACAGCTACTGGAGGGATGAATTATTCCAAAAGATATTCACCCATTTGCTCTTTTTAAAAAAAATATATATATATATATATATATATATATATTAGGGGTAGCAAGGAGTGCTGTCTAAAATGTTGGTCCAAAATCTCTAATACAGGGCTGGGCAATCCTGGTCCTGGAGGGCCACAATCCTTGCTTGTTTTAGATGTTTCCTTCTTCCAACACACCTGATTCACATGATCAGGATCGTTATCAGGCTTCTGCAGAGCTTGATGATGAGCTGATCATTTGAATCAGGTGTGTTGGAAGGGAACAAAACCCTTAATCCTATTGTTCAATGCCCCCAATTTAGTTTCAGCCTGAACACACAGTTTGAAAAAGTTAATTGTGGTTTAATTTTTACTGCGATATCTGTTGTATGTACATTGTGAAATCGATGAAGTTTTGAGAAGATATGCACTTTATCCATCAAGAATAAATCACATGAGAGGAGGCAAAAATAAATTTAGTCCAACTTTATGGGCAACAGTGTATTATTATTATTATTTATTATAAAAAAACAACACAATACCACCATTTGGTACTCAATTTAGACTAATTATTTCATTTTTTCCCCTTTATTATTATTATTATTATTATATATGGCTTTTAATAGTGCCTTGGGATACTCCAGAACATCTTGTACAGGAATAAAATATAGATATAAAAAAATGTGATGTCTCTTATCACGGGGCTGTAACAGAAGGGGGCTGCTGTCTCTCTCTCCCTCCCTCTCTCTCTCTCTCTTTCCTATAGTCGCTTCACCAACTAGGAAGCGCACAGCCAGCCACCACTTTATGATCCGTGCGCACCGACCGACCGACCGACCCGCGAGGAGCTCTCTGTTTGAGCCCCGCTCTTTCTTTCTCTCTCTCTCTCTCTCTTTCTCCTTCCCTCCCTCCCTCCCTCCCTTCTTTCTTTCTCTCCTTCCACACGTTATTCGGTTTCGTCTCGATGTAGACGATCAGCCCCGGAGCTCACAGTTTTGGTTTTGGGGGGTGGGGGGGGATACTCTGTTGTCGCGCCTTTTGCGCCATGGAGGACCGCTGTTCCCCGGAAAACCAGAGGATGGAAGCGTGGCTGGACGACCACTTGGAGTTCACCCACTCCTACTTTATCAGGAAGGCGTCAAGGTAATGATAGCAATTTTAAAAGAAGGAACAGAGTAGATGGCTCAGATTGTTGTTAAATGGAGTTTCTAATGGAATTCTCTGCAAATGAACTCTTTTGCGAGCGCAGCCAATCAGGATCCCTTTTGTTTGTATAGGCAGTTTAAAAAAAAAAATCATACAGGTAACACTTTACCTCAGACTGATCATATCTTGCATCCTCTCCAGTGGAGGTGAATGTGCAAACCCAGCTCAGGTGCTTTATTTTTTTAACCTGCAGAGCTTGTGCTGATCTCCTCTCACAGCTCAGCATTATTCCATTTCACCACCTCACTTCACAATCAGCAGCAGCAGCAGCAGCTCTGAGAGTTGCACAGGGCCCTTTAATCATTAACTTTTACTGCTGCCGGTGATTCAGGTTTAATTCTCAAGGCTTGAATGGGTCCTTGGTGATAATTATACAAGGCTTTCCGCGTGCTGGTGCTTGTCCCATAAACCAAAGTGTCTTGTTATAGATGTAGCTTGGAGGCAAATGAGAGATTTAATTTGATACGCAAACACACATCTTTTTGGAGCTATAGCAGCTATATAAGGCTTTTTATTTGGTGGTGTTGCAGCACTTCATCAGTACACTCAAGGTCTGTGTTTGTTTTAGTGACGAACCCCTTCAGATCCATTTACCCACTTAAAAACCACCATCACTGACTTTTTCTTTTCATCCAGCATCCCATCTTGAAATATTTTCCATAAAAAGCATTGTCAGAGGATGTGATTTTAAACAACCTCTCCTGCTGTTTTTGAACCACATTACGAAGGCAAAGAAAAAAAGTTGATTGGCTCGACGAAGGAGGTTTGCACACATCAGCCATTCTGCCGTTCTGGTTGAGAGGCATTTCTTAGAGAGGTATTGATTCAGCCACACCTCCCCTGGATACATTAGGGTCGGCCCTGTGGGGAGGCAGGGCGGCTCAACGGGAGATGGAGTAAGACGGACTCAACCTGACTGGATCTGACACTGACAACAGCCACGTTGTTGTCTCTCCCAAGTTTTATTTGCGTGGGCCTAAGATACCACTTTCTTTCTCTTTTTTTTAAACATCATCTTCAGGTTTTTGGCCTTCAGGTGAACAGAGCCTGTGACTGGAAAAAGAGAATGAGTCACATGACCTTCAGCGTGTTCGAAAACTCGAGTCGAAGCCGGAGCGCGTGCTTGAAATGTGTGTGGGTTGATTAGACAATGTGTTGGCTGATTAGAGAGATTCTCCATAATCACATCCAATTTAGTGTCCACACGCAAACATACACCCTGTCTGACACACACACACACACACGCTGGCATTTGATTTGTTCCAGCAAACATCCACATTAGACACATTGATGGGTTAGGGGCACCCAGACTAAATGAAAACAGTCCATCACATAGCCTTGGTATTACATAATGATAGTGATGTGGCCTGTTGCTAATATTATATTTTTGCTGCCTTTGACATGGTTGTTGTTGCAGTGTTTACTTAATGTAATTTCACGTTGTAAACTCAGCTTGTAAAAAGGGAACTCGTTCCTCAATATAACTTTTGTGAGAGTATATAGACATAAAATACTATATCCACAATGCCAGCTTTCACCTTTTTCCTCCGTTCTTAATTGTCATCAGTGCCAAGAGCTTTTGTTGCTTAATTTTCAAGGCTCAAAATTTGATCTTTAGCTTGTCGATAGTTCCCTTATTTTCAGATTTACACAGCTGTAAAAAAAAAAAAAAGTTAGAGAGGATATGAAGTTACATTTACATTCAACTCAAGCAAGCAAAACTCATAAGAAGGTAAAGATTGCTCTCAAAGTCAAGCTGTCTGTCAATTACTGTCCCAAAGCTAAACTTAAAGCACCACAGTGTAACTACTGAACCTATGAGTGACACATTTTTCTTCTTAGTAACAAGAATTCACATAAAAGCCTCACTGCAACACTCAAGGTTTTTTTTTCTGCTTCATCCTCACATTGGCCTGATCCTCAAATGGCAGCTTGTGGTGGTTAATGTGAGATAATATCAGAAAGCTTTACGTGAACACAATGCTGGATGGTGTTTTGTATGTAAGTACATTTTAGTGTGTCACAAAGATACCTTCACAAAAGTACAATAAGACCTCACCAGCCATCTTACCCATTCACTGGATAGCTTAGCATTACAATGGCCAAGTTTAGGAAAAGGCAAGCTTGGCTCATTGCACAATCTAAATCCTCAGCAAAACTTAAAATTGCAGCGTGTTGGGTTGCTGGTTGTGAAGGGAATATTTGACTACAGAAGTTGAGGAGAAACCTGCTGGAAATACAGAGTGGATATGACATCCTTTTCCCACAGTCTACGTTCAGGGAGTCAGACTAGTATACATGTATGTAGAAGTCTAATTGTGTAGTCTATAAGAGTAAGTCTATGAGAAAATGAACCATACTTCTTGCTTGATTTGGTACCTAAGGAAAGATTTCCCCCAACAGGTTAAGGTCTCCATCGTTAGTTGAAAGACTTTTTGAATACAACATGATGTATATTTTGTAAATGATGTTCCCATTTAAAGGAAAGTTTCTAGACGATAAAGAAGTGTATGTTTTAGGGCATAAGTCACTACTGAATGGATAAGTGTAGTGTTCTCATGTTCTCAGTCACATCACAACAGCAACAGTCAAATTCCAAACTCAACGCTTCAAAACGATTGTCCACAAACCATCTATGATGTCACCAGGAGATGTGTTTGCTGTTTCCTGCTTTGTTCTACTGGATGCTACTCAGCAAAATGTACATATTCTCACTTAAATCATCAGTTTCAGATCAAATGTGCGAGGGGGAACAGTTAGCACGAGTTAGCACAGAATGAAGAGCAGCATGAAGCGGCCAACACAGATTCTATAGCCTTAACTGAGTGCGAAAAAAAAACAATTTTAGTGTTCTAACTTGACATCCTCCATCATCGTAATATATTCGACCAACCTTTCTGCTTTTCTTTTCTACAGGCAAATTGTCCAGCTCTGGTCACTTTGCCGTATTTGGTGATGAAATTCAGTTGAGTTTTTGCCACATAACGTGGTGGAAAATCAGTGCGGTGCAAAGTTTGTGCTTGCCATGCAACACTGAATCAGCTCTTTTGGTGTGAAAGCTCTGTAATCCTTACCTCAGCAGAGCCTTTGTGAGGCCAAATGTCATGGAAAAAACTTTGGGCACAGAGAAGGTTTCTGAGTCATTTTATTGGACTGAAATGCAATAACATCTTCTGTATTTCTAAGTAATTCTATTATGACATCATGACTGATTGGAGCACGTTGACCAGCGTTTGCTCCAATCTGGTTAAACGCACATCATGGTAGAAATATGAATGTTGGATAATGAAGAAAAAAAATGTCATATTGACTTTGTAGTGATCTACCTAAATGAAGGAATTTGGTCATTGTCATCGTAACCGTTGCGAGAGACAAGGACATTTTTACAAAAGGAATTAGAACATTTGACATCCTATTCATCGTTAGGGAAAATATTTTTTACAACTAAGTCTTTAACTTCGTCATTCAAGTAGGCCATTTTTTTCTCGGAGTCGTCTTTTAAGTTGTAGCTGTAGTATGAATTAGCTTGGTAAGCTGTTTTTGACTGATGTCTGTTTATGTTTTGGCACAGGAACAGCAAGGAATTGGTGTTCTCTTAGGATTTCGGGGGTTATTTAGCAGCTCTAATTGTCGTCAACCTGACAACCAGTGTGGACTCTGTTTTAACTGTCAGGAATAAGAAGTCTACGTACACCAGTAGACCAGTTATGAACATTCTGACTATCATGTAAAAGTCAAGGTCTGGGATATTTTAGATGGAACAGATGAGTTTCCTGGTCAGTGTTTGGTGGAAATGGGCAGCTGTGAAGATCTGAGTGGGCCAACAAGGGCCAAATGGTTATGGGCAGACGGCTGGGTCTCTGAAATGGCAAGGCTCCTATTCAGCACTGGTCCAAGGAGGGACAAACCATGAACCAGCAACAGGGTCGGGGGATGTGCTGGTAGAAGTCTGATTCAAAGCAGCTCCAGCTCGCAAAGATCTGCCGCTAGTCTGGTACCACAGATCCAATCCTCAGAGCTCTTTTGGTGGCAGGATGCTTACTATGTCAAGGGACTGATACATTTTCCTTTGTTCCAACAGGGAGATGGTGAATGCCTGGTTCGCTGAGCGCGTCCATACCATCCAGCCATCTGCCTCCAAAGACAATCCTCCACAACAGCGTGGCCACCAGCTCTCCGTAGATCTCGTCCCTCCCTCTGCTTCCACCATCCTCCCACCCACCCTCAACCTCCTGGACAACCGCTGCCCCTCCCCAGCTTCGGTCTCCAGCCCGGCCCCCGGCACCCCGACTCGCAAAATCTCAGCGTCAGAGTTCGACCGCCCGCTCAGACCCATCGTGGTCAAAGACTCAGAGGGCTCTCTGACGTTTCTGAGCGACTCCGACCGTGAAACTGTCCCTCTCCGGGGCTCAGTGATGGGCGAGGGCGGTGTCAGTGGGGGAGGCGGTAACGGAGGTGGCGGTGGAAGCGGGGGTGACCGCTGCGCCAGACTGCTGGAGCTGGTGAAGGACGTGTCGAGTCATCTGGATGTGACAGCACTCTGCCACAAGATCTTCCTTCACATCAACGAGCTGATCGCCGCAGACCGCTACTCGCTATTTCTGGTAGGAATGGAAAGGCCTGTGGGTCGAGCTATCATTCCAACTGGAGGTTTGCAATCAGCCAAAAACCAGAGAAAAGGACGACTTCTTGACATGGGCACTCTTTTCTTGGTTGTCAAAGTATGCCTCTAGAAAATGACAGTCCCCAAAATGTAAGGCTTTTGTTTTGAAGAGCTATGAAACTATTACCTGTGTTAGATTATTCACAGGTGTTAGGTTTATGATAGAGAGCTAAAGGTGGATTGCAATTACATTACTCATAGTTTCTATTTTCCCCTGCTTCCAGTCATTATTTTGAGCTACCTCCTGGTTGTAGCGCCACACTTAACACAAGACATGAGGTCAGTCTGTGTCAAATCAGATAAAATTCAGAAAATAAGTTGCTGCACTGTTTCAGATTTTCTTCATAGTTTACTTATTTGTTTTTTGGGATGCCAGTCTAAGTTTTGTAATGCATTTTTGCAGAATTTTGAAAATCTGATATGTTTTAAGACCCAATAGTTTTTCTACTTTCAGTATCCAAAAAGTCTAGGAAGCCAGTTTAAAGGTTCAGTATCACCGGAAATAGAATTCCCAAAGCCATGAAATTTGGTTAGGACACAGACAAAATCAAATGATTGAATGGGCTTTGAAAATGAAAAAAATGCATCATTTTCAAACAAGGGTGATATTGTGACCTATATGTGGACCTAACCACATTTCCTTTACTAAAAGTACAATCTGTGGTCAACATTTCACCAACCTTTGAGGCCTCCAACATTGTTAGAATGTCAAGGCTCCAGGTTTTTGTTATTTTGTCATTCCAAAATGGTGATATGGACTTCGTAGACACACAGTAACTGGTGTGCATAGGGGTCTATATATTGTCATTATATGTGCAAAGTTAAAAGTTGCTTTCATGTTGACTTCATGTTGAAATTTAAACAACATATGGAAGCCTTATATATGTGATTGACGGCCCCGACGAGGATGGAGAGGAGCAGGATGTGAGGGGAAGGCTTATGCTTATCCCCAGTGAGTCATTTAAGTGGCGTCCATCTGATGAAAGCCATGACGCAGACATATAGATAGACACCAAACTGAGAAGGTGTTTACAGGTCATTTCATGCCGTGTTCGTGCAATTAGATTTTGTATTGTACTTGGTTTTGTTTCAGTGATCACCAGTTTTCTAACTTGTGTGTCAGTGATCACAGGTGGTTTCACTTTTGCTAATTAAGTTTGCACTTTGGGGTCGCTATTTTCAATAGTCTTTTAAAAAGCTTTTACTTTGTGGTTCATAATTCTCATTCTGTGTGTCAACTTGAGGATAATGCAGCTTTGAAGAGGTAATGCAATTTTGAAAAATTTGACCTTTAAGTGATGCTTCGCAGGGGTTTCCTCACTTCTGTATGTTGTACCTGCTAGCAAACAGCCTGTTAGCAAGAGCATGTTAGTGTGCAGAAGTTAGCATTTAGTTCAAAGTGTTCAATTTCAGCCTAACAGAGCGCTGAGCATAACTCTTGAGTGTTAGTCTTGTCATAAAAAGTGCTGCTAAACTACAGAACTAAATTCTACCAGGCTCTTTTTGCTTCGTATTAAAAGAAAGAGACCACAGGTGTGTCCTCTTTGTTGATTAAGTTTGTACTGTGGAGCCTCTGTTTTCAGTAGTCTTTCAAAACTTTTTTCTTAATTGTTCACAATTTCTCATGATGTGTGTCAACTTCATGTTACTAAAGTTTTTCCAGAGCTAACACAATTTTGAATAATTTGACCTTTAAGTGATATTTCACAGGAGTTTTCTCATTTCTGTTGTATATTGTAGCTGCTAGCTAGCAGCCTGTTAGCAAATACATTGTGAGTATATTAGCATGCAGAAATTAGCATTTAGCTTGAAGCGCTATTGTATTTGTTTTAGCCAGAGCTGCTGGCATACCTCTTGACTTCTAGTTTTGTTATAAAAAGTGCTGCTAGGATATAAAGTTAAATTTTACCAGCATCTTTTTAAATTTAAAGAAAGAGATGTTTAACAGAGTTTATCAAGTATAACATGCTGTAGCAGCTCTGTTTAAAATACAGGTTAGCATGCTAACGTTAGCATCGAGGTCAATGCACATTGCACCAGCAACTATTAAGGGCATACAATTTCTAAAATTAAATTTTTGTTCCAGTCATCAGTTTTCCAGCTTTATGTCAGCTGTGTGACACCATCATTGTGTGTGTGTGTCTCCAGGTGGGCGAGGACAGCTCCAACAGGAAGTTCCTGGTCAGCCGGCTGTTCGATGTGGCCGAAGGCTCCACGCTGGAGGAATCATCCAGCAGCAGCATCCGACTGGAGTGGAACAAAGGCATCGTGGGACACGTAGCCGCCACGGGACAACCGCTCAATATCAAGAACGCTTATGAGGTGAGGATTTCACGCTGCTATGGTTTACATATTACGAGGGTCAGCATGGATGCTGCTGAAGCCTGTAATGAGGTGGTTTGCAGTGTGTGTGTTGAAGCAGCTTTGGGTGTATTTGATGGTTCTTGCTGACAGAGCACAGGCTTGAGAGGAACCAAAGAAGGGCAAATAGGTCAAAGTGCTCCTCTGGAGGGTTCATCTTCGCCACACAGACACACATACAGACACACACATGCACACACGCACATTATTCTCTTTCATTTTGTAACTGCAGAGTCTCTGATGACATTTTAACCCCTGAGAGTATCAATGGAGTGACCTACTGAGCGATCAGGTTTCTCGTCCTTTTAAATCAATGACCAAAGCAATCTTAAAATGTGTCCCTAACTAAATTCACCAACACAGAAAAACAAGATTATAGAGGAGACATTACAGCGAATACTCTCAGGAAATGCTTTTTAAAATTTGTTTTCCAAGAGTGAGCTTGATACCAATTAATATTTCTGTATTCAGAATACGTTTAGCCCTCAGTAGCACCGCACAACGACTGGAAACACCAAGTCTGGCACTGTCCAAGGTTAAAAATATGCCTACCAGAACCTCTGAAACGCACTATGTTGTAAAAAAGCAGTGGAATAACACATTTTTATTCATTTTATGCATGTTGCAACAAACTACAGCTAGAAGCAGCGACTGTGCACAGCCTCCTGTGGTCTTGTCTGAGGGTGCAATGAATAATCAATGTAGCTGGCAAAAGAAGATGATTAAATTAGTGGCCAATAAATTTAATTGTCCATTAGTTGGGGATGTTATTGCATGTGTGACGACCTGACATGAGTCGCTAACACCTTCTCAACACTGGATAAGCCAAATGTAGTAACCAGGCCTATGCAACCAGGAGGATATTTGGTAGCTGTTGTACTGCTTGTTTAGAAAGCTCACCAGAGACATTGAACATTTGCGTCTCCACCGAACAGTAGCCGGCGAGCACCGTGTCCTCGATAAACCTACGGTCACGCTGCCAACAATCTATCGCTGGCCCGTGCTGGTCCCCTATCATAAAACACATCTGGCTGCAGCAGTGTACCAGCCATCAAACATTCATAAAGTTTTTACTGGCCATCTCTGTTTAAGTAAGAGGCATAACTGTGCAATTTGTAATCTGAATTTCTGATTATTTGTTGAATTAATTAATAGATTATGAGAACAGAACAGTGATTTGGTTCGGTGACACCGAGACCAAATCCTGTCATCACAACTGTATCTGACAACCGGCACTGCAGCCTCAGCACTGAAATAGCTTCAGTAACGTTCTCATTGTGCACATAAAAGAAACATGCAATCATTTTTAGACCTTTTCTTTTGTTTTGTTTAAACAGAGCAAGGCTAACTGTTTCCCCCCTGCTTCCAGGCTTTATGCTAAGCTAGGCTAACTGTGTCCAAATGTAACAGAGAGGCTAACGTTTAAGCAAAATAAAAAACTAATGCAAGTTTAAAAGAATGAAATTAGTTAAATGCTAGGTTTAATTAAGAAAAATAACAAAACCTAGAAGTAAACATTGTGTCTGCAAAATGATCGCATCAGTGTTTAAAGGTAATGCTATAAAATTAGCCTTAGCATGGCTCCTGTTATTAATCATAACAGACTCTATATCACTTTTATTAAAAGCAGCATATAGTTAGTGAAGCGAATACTGTTCAGCAGCTTATTAGGACAGCAGCTCACTTTGAAAATCCTGTTATGACATATTTAAAAAAAACTCAACAAATTGAATAAGTGGGTTCAACCTAAACATCTTCTCCTTGGTCTGTAGCTGCAGATTGAATTTCAGCTCAGACGGAGATACCGACCTTTGACTGCTCCGTCTGCTTCTCAGCTTTTACTGCGTCCCGTTGTTTCTCCTGTTAACTGTTTATAGACTGATGATAAGAGGGATCTGCGGAATGCATGTGGCCGTAGCTTTACTGTATGTTCATGTAAGTGTGTGAGCGTTTGTGCTGCTGACTGCATGCGGAGCAGGACCCTCTGAAAGAGTTACGAGTGTCTTCACAAAGAAGCAGATGTGTGCGTAACGTTTGCGTGTGGATGGAAGCGAGAGAGCATGTGGCTGTAATGAAACCCATCTGTTCTGAATGTCTTCATATCAGTCTGACTTCAGCGTGTGCAGCGTCAAAAATATCTTCCTTAACAACGGATTGCTGTGTAAATGTTACTTATGTTCACCAAAAAAAAAAAAAAGTCAGACACTTTAAAACCTTATAGATACATCGAGTTAAACCCGCATGATTTATACTTGTTGAAATTACACAGTTCCACTTTTTTCCTGCCGATGAAGGGTGTTCTTTTCATCCTTTTCTTGATCTTCTGTCTTGTGTCAAGTCGTTGGCAGCTGTTTCCACAAAGATTCTGAAAACATCGGAGTAGAAAGAAGTAGAATGACTTCACTGCTGCTGCTTCCTCCACTGCCTGCAGACATTTTGGAGGAAAGTGAACCAGTGATAATTTAACAAAACAGCGAGTAAATAAAGTATGTGGAAAAGATGTTGACAGTAACTTCTGCCAAGAGAAATATGCATCAAAGGGTCACTTCACCAAAATAACAAAAACAAACATATTTTCCTAGAAAGCCTTTTGGTGGTATTTAAGCTTGCTGTGCTGTTGTAGTTTGATATCTGAGTGTCTGAGTTTTGTACAAATTTAACCACCTTTCTTTAATTTTAAGCACTTCACTGATTTTTTTTGTTCTGAAAACATTCTGAGAAAATTCAGCACAACGTTCTAGTAATGTTTTCAGCAGAAAGTTTTATTTTACTTTGCAGTATGTTGTTTTTAAAGGCAATTTAATGTTAATGTTGCATTGAGTACATCCTACTTTTTTATCATGTAACATTGGAGGAACGTTTTATATAAGAAATTTCTGAACAGCAACATCCCCAAAACATCCTCAGAGTATTCCAGGCTAAATGTTTTGTTAATATGTCACGCTCCGGTAACGTTTTATCAAAACATTCTGTCATCTGAGGCTTTGAGAGCATCTTGAAAATGTTTTTTTTTAATGTTTGTTCTTCTTACGTTGTCATGTAACACAGTTTGACAGCATCCTCCAAACATTCTCTGAATGTTGAGACATTCTATGTCAGTTTGCTTTTAACGTTATTGGAACATTACTTGGTTGATTTAATATCTTTAGCAGATTCTTTGAACATTAGGATAGAATGTTTTTTGTTATTAGAACTTGTAGGTAATGTTAGCGAGTGTTGTGGGAACGTTCCCTGCTTGCTGGGCGGGTAATAATTTAAACATTGTGCAATGAAATGCACAAATAAATACGTTTACACACATAAATACTTTGATAGGTATGAAATAAAGAAAGTGAATTAAACCAGGAGACACAGGTTGAAGCTCTGCTCACATTAAATACATTTCTGTCTATAAAGTTATCTATAAAATCTCTACACTGATGCATTTGTTTGTTGTGGGAAAGGTTTTTTTCCCCACTATCACTGTTCTGCTGGACAGACAGATTCAGTCAGTTCAATCAGAACCTTGAGATCAAAAGTAACAGTTTAATGAGTGATCAGAGATTTGCCATATTGTCTGTGTGAGGGTATCTACACATCAAAAGTGACCCCGGAATGTATTAAAAGTCTTACATTTCATACACAAGCCAATATTGTTGTTTTTTGTCGGCAGTAATGTTGGTTATAAGATGTTTTGTGTGTGATTACAGGATGCCGGGGGATGTTTTGTATCTAGAAACTACACATAAGATTGTTGTACAGTGAGTTGTGCAGCAGGAGGCTGTTAGAGCCTTTTTGTTTCATTTAGCGCCTGCAGCAAACACTGTCACTACTGGTGCTGTGGTGTTGTAACAGAGCAGCATTGTGTTTGTTTCCACGGGTCCATAATAAATGCATTGATTGTCTGTGCTAGGAATTCGGGGAAATAGTGATAAAAACGTGGCATGATGTTTTGCTTTAGTGCATGTGGTTGACAGAGAAAAGCATTCATTTACATTCTATGTAGTACAAAATGAGTCCGAAAACTATCATGTTGTGTTTGAGGAAGATTGTCGAAACCATGTATGCTGGGACACATCTTAAATTGTGTGATGCTGTATGATGAGGAATGTCAGATGTGCATTAAATGCTTTGGAAAGTACGTTGAGCATTTAATGTCTGGGTACTAATGACTGTTCATATGGACGACAGTAATCTGGTTATTATACTGTGCATGATTTTGTCTGTAATCTGACCCGTTCAAATAAACCGATGTTGCTCAGATGCACCCGCAGTTTAAAGAACTGAGGTCATCTTCACGCGTCTGTGCTCTGCTGGTCACCGCTGCATGTTGGTCTATTCGGCGATGATCCGCCTGCACATGGTACGAAATTAGCTGTCATATCCGTCATGAAATGAATCCCGGCAATAATTGGAATTCTGTTCCTGCTGTTGACAGCTGCGCATATGTTACCCATGAGCTTCTCAGCAAGCAGATTAGAAGCCCAGTTACATGTATACACAGCACAGAAAATATCAGGAGAAATCTGCCCACGGAAATCAGATTTGACTAATCTCCTACCCTAGTTATGTTTCTCATTTATATGAGAGTTAAGAAGTCAGCTTTACAGACTGTAATCTGTTACTTACACCCCGAATATGAGATTTGGCCACTTCATTAAACATCATTTTATGCCAGTAAGGTGCCACGTGTGACAAAAAAAGATATAAAACCTCTGTTCCAAAGCAACAAAACAATGGCAAAGTTAAAGTTTCCGCTTCACCGTGTCCATGAAATGTCTTTCATCGCTGTCTGTATACTTCACAAAACACACAAAAGCAGCCTCAGCAGCTGGCATTATTCATTTTGTGGTGTGTGTGTGTGACAGAGATTTCCTGCTGTGTACCTTCCTCCTTTGAAAGCTCTGTCATCTGGTTGCCTGCCAACCACAAGATTATGATGATGATGATGATGATGTGACTGGGGGAGAGAGAGAGGGAGAGACGGGGTGAGAAAATGACAAATACAGAACAAGAGTGGCTGATGGGATAGTCCACCTGTGTCCAATTAGCTCGCTGTGTGTGTGTCTGTGTGTGCACCTTCTGTGTGATTGCACTTGAGGGTTTAAGTGTGATTTTGAGTGCATGTGTGTGTGTGTATGAATGTGTGTAATCAATGCGTGTATAAGTACGTGTAATGAAATAGAAAGTGTGTCCTTTTTGCTCGCAGGTGAGTGCGAGCTTTAGTTTGCGTGGGGGTGTGTTAGTCACCTTGTTGGTGCACACTTCTGGAAATCAATATCAGTGTGTGTCATGCTGAGCACTAACTGCTTCATTCAATGCACAGTGTTACTCTAGATTATCTGAGTGTAAGCTGCGCGCTGTATTTGTGAATGTGTTTGCGTACAGCCGAACCTGATACTGCTTCCAGGAAGTCCATCTGCGTCATCTGAGGGACTCCCCAGCCCTCTGATTGGATCTTTAACTTCCCATTAGTCTGGATTATATTGATTTCAGAAACACTGTAAGAAACAACCCCCCCTCTGCCTGTTTATTTTAGTACTGCCCTCCCTGGGTTGGACCAAATATATGTTTGGCAACAGCACTGGGCCAAACCAATCCACAGAGAAGCTCGGAGAGGGGGGGGAGTGATGACCTTATCAATGCCTTCACTGTGCTGCATCCAAAAGGCAATCTTGTGGGAATATAATACAGCACTTATCTATCATCCACTGGCTTCTGTTTTGATTTTAGTTGATCCGGCCACATATTTCTTGGATTTTGACAGATAGTTGTACAGTGTGAAGTGTGCAGGAGAAAGAAGCTTTCTTGCTCCAGAGTGTGGCTCTACTTGTGGTTGTGAGTTAGTTTTGCTGAAAGAGACAATGGTTTGTTGTGGGGTTGCACAATATGTCGTTTCTCTCACATCACCACAAGTGCAAAGTGAAGTTAGGCAAATAAACTCAGTGACATCTACAGCTGTTTTTTGCTGTTTCATACACAAAGAGGACTTGCATTGATCTCATTTTCATAATCTGCTCCAATCTTACGGGTTCTTGGATACAGATTTTTTTCTTTTACTTTATTAACAAGAAAATTATAAAGGATTCATATTTTCTATCCAAAAGGTCGAAGGTTACTTTAGACAGACATGCATGTGAACGTCAATCTGACTGGTTGACAGAGGCATATAACTGCAAGGTAGTGATTCCTTTTTTTCTTGCAAGTGTGATAGTCAGACTTACAAATTGACATACTGATATAAATGTCATTACACCATTCATTAGGCGATGTCAACACACATCATTCCCATGCATATAGGCAGGTAGAAAGCTCCTCCAACTTGTAGGACTCTCAGCAGGCCGTTATCGTGCCATTTTGTCCTCTACCACATCTGTAATGTTTTTGATATATTAACTGTTCAGGCAGAAGACAAGGGACCAGGTGGAACCTCTACCTCTTTGTGGAGACTTACAGAGGTGATATACTGACAATTTTGTGTTTGCAAGCACTGTTGGGATTTAGCTAGCAAGGGGCCACCATGACAAAGACTCCTGTGGTATTTAGTGACTTCAGATCAGAGCTCATGTATTCAAGACAAGCCAGAGGCTGCGAGAACAGTGTTCCTATAGCCGAGTAGCTAATGAAACCAAATCACTTTTCCAGTGAGTGTCACATATCTGCGATTAAAATGAGCTTCATCTGCATGTAGAGTACTGCCCACTAGGTTTCTTTCATTTTAATAATTAGTTGCTTATTGATGGCTGATGTTATTTCTGATTACTTTCTGCTAATCAATAACTGGAATGAATGATAACGAGCCTACTGACCTCACTAGAAGGTGGAGGAGGTTCCTATGGGCCCATATGTATGGTAATGATGATAACCAGACATTGATTGGGCTGATCACATCTAAATCAGTTAAATTTATTGCCCTCTAAACCAGTCTTCTTAACAGTGACCATCCAGTCGCTTAGCAACCATTACTTGGTCTGGTTGGTTTATCAAGCTTTGCATTTCTGTGCTTGTTGAAATGATTACATGGAGCTGAACCAAGCCTCAGGATTGTTGTGGTATTGCAACTTCTATTTTACTGACTATATTAGGGCCCGACCAATATGGATTTTTTGAGGCCGATGCCGATTCCGATGTTTGGCAAAGAAAAATTCCGACAACCTATTAATCGGCCGATTAATTTTAAAAATATATAATGAATAGAAAAGTGTCTTCTTTGGTCCCTTAATGCTTACAACAACTAAGATCTGAATCACACTCAGAACATTTTACTCTTTACACTTTGTCCTTTTAGTGTGTTGTGGTGTTTTGAAGTTTTGAAGTGTTTTTCACACGCTTTTGCCTTGGAGAATATTTGTCTTTTTACAAAATCAAAGTGTACAAAGCGACTGTGACACTTGACAGCATTTACTGTTTTATGAGAAATTAAGAATATATCGGTGATTAATCGGCAAAACTCCGGCCGATTATGAGCATTTTGTATCTTCTTTGGTCCCTTAATGCTCACAACAACAAAGGTTCAGAAGACGCAGACAAACAGCAGAACAAGGACAGCTGCCACCTCACCCTGAATAGGGAGACCACCCTCTGGGAGCCAAGCCGAGGGGGCCACCACCCTCAGGGCAGAGGATCGGGGTCGGGTGCTATGCCCACCAGGTGGTAGGCAATTGCAGGTGTCCTGGCTGCTCGACTGAGACGCTAATGAGCATGCTCTATGGACAGAACCTAGTTACAGAAGCGTGCAGAACATCTGGGTACCTCGTGGAGGACACTTGGCAAACATATGTGCAACTGAGCAGCTTTCTCGAATAATTGAAACGGCATCTTGAAATCCAGTACCCAGCTGTTCTTAATACATTCATAAGCTGAGCTAAGAGCAGCAGTCAGTCTGCATGTAAAAAATCAGCTGGACTGGGTTTTAAAGCAGCTCAGAAAGCAAACACTGAAGCTACCACTGCTATCATTGTGTACGTGCTGGGGAGTGATTGACAGGCCATTGCAGTATATAGTATGTAGTTACCATCAAGCCTGCAGTATGTACAGAAGTCCTGCACGAGCAATGGGAGCCGTTTTCTCACACGGTCCAGAACCTGTTGTGTGTCCAGTGTAACTGTGAAATCAGTGTAGCGTTCCTCTTTTAGTCATGATTTTATCCACACACAAACACAGTCCCCTTGAGTCTAGAGGATGATAGAAATGGACAGAAAGAAGCAGAGTGTTTAAAGGTCAGCCGGTGGGTGGGAGAGTTGCCAACAGGAGAATAGTCCTCTAAACAAAACAACTCTCCATCCGCTGGTCTTTAATATGCCTTCAGAAGCCACTTCTCCCTCTTAAACCGACAAATGTGTGTGCCTCCTTGTGACTGATATCAAATACTAACAGAACTATGTATCTGGGGCCTTTGTTTTGGAAGAAGAGTGGAGTTCTGTGTTGCATAATGAGCTTCTGCTTCTTTATGCAAATTGGACCCGCGGTTGTCGTGAGTGTAGGTGGTGGAACTGCTTGTTGAGCGTTTGAATGCAGATGAGGTCTGGTCCTGATGCCAGTACTTTGTTTTAAATGTTTGGTGTCTCTTAATTAACTGTGTCGTAAGCCTTGTGTATTGTTGCTTTGCACCTTAAGCTTTCCGTTCCTAATTGGACAGCATCTGTGGAGGTTACAATGGAAACAGCGGGTGCTGAAATGTACACCTCTCGAAGGCCAACAAAGTAACACAGAGCTGCAAATTTTCTTTTGATATATCAGAAGTGGTTTCCACAGTGAGAATATATGACACAATCATAAACTTCACATGTTCAGGATGACAGCTTTCATCTTGTTCACCACACTGTTTGTCATACAGATTTGACATCCCACATTCTTCCTCGCTCTTTCAACTTGTGGAGTCTGCGTGTCAACTATCGCTAGCTTTTAAATGAAGTGTATCTGAGAACACTTAAGATGGAGTTCTATCAGGCAGACTTGTAGATTAGTCATAAAGCGAACCGTGCACGTTTTCTTTTTCTATCAAGCAGCCAAAGAAGTTGTGGTATGGTGCGTTCATTTGCCTTACTTCACAATGTACCTCTTGAAGTGTGAGTATTGTTATAGTGTCAAAGCTGAAATTAAATAACGTGCATCATCATTTTTTGACGCAACACTCGGTTACCAGTGTCGGCAGGCTGCTACTTTGTTACTAAATACGTGCTGATGATTGCAACTTGCCGATAAAATCACAGTTTGATCCGTTCCTTGCACTGCTGCGGTTGTGTTTCTGGTTTTGAATGGAAAGTCAGCACCCTCCACACTCTCAGTGCACACTTGTTCAACATATGGACCAATCCCTTGTATGACACAGAAAATGAAAACTCATATGTAGTGCTTCAGCAGGAATGCGCTGACAATATCAGGGGTTAAAAAAAACATTCACTTGACTGGATATTATTATTCAAAGCTAATATCGGTACCAAAATGTTTGACCCTGCTGTGTTTGTCCTTTGCTTTCCCAGGACCCCAGGTTCAACGCAGAGGTGGACCTGATCACAGGTTACAAAACGCAGAGCATCCTTTGCCTGCCCATCAAGAACCACAGAGAAGAGGTGAGATGACGCACATACAGCATTCAGACCACATACTAGAAAGATTTCTAAGGCCTGATTGTACAGATGGTAACTAAAAAGCAGAGGGATTAATTCAATTCTAAATCTGGAAAAGGAGACATCTAGTTTGGAGGTAGCCACTAGGGCCAAAATAAAGTATCAGTGTGACATTTCATGAGCTTTATTTGTTTTTTTCTTTGTACCTTACCCAGAGTTAGATGAGATGATCAGTGTCACGCTGACATTCTTATCTGGCGTGGTGCTACATTGCAGTAGCTGTTGCAGGAATCTAAACTGAGACTCTTTTGAAGCAATCCTGAACAATCTGCTTAGCAAAGCTTGTTTGACGCCTTTGTTTCCTGCTTACGTGATTAACAGGTACTGTAGTCCTCAGAATGTGCTCAGTGTTCCTTATTTCCCCTGACTGCTGGCCAGCACTTACCTCGACCAGCTGAAGCCTTATAGAAGTTTGATGGCAGTGCAATTAGATTTTAATGTGCATACTTCTTTTAGAAGTTTTCATCTTATCTCACCAGCAGAGGACCAGCTATTCTTGTTTGGAGAAGCTAAAGATGATTCATGCATTACAAGATGGATTGTAAGACTTGCAAATTCCAGCCTTTAGCACGTAGTAAAGCTCGGATGATGAATTGATTAGTTGCCAACCATTAAATTGACTTTGATAGTTTGATAGATTAACTTTAAACTTTTTTTTTTTTTAAAAATTCTAATAATTCTCTAATACCAGCTTCTTAGATTTAAATGTTTTCTACTTTTTTAAAATACTTTTTTGCTATATATATGTTCAGTCATCTTGGGCTTCGAGAAACACAGATTTTTCACCATTTTCCGATCATTTATAGACCAAACAACTCATTGATCAATTGACAAAGTAATCAAAAGATCAATCAATGATGACGCTATTGCCTTTAAAACATAGCTTTTACCTCTCACTTCATTTGAAAGGAGCTGTGATTATGCAAACCAAGTAATCAGTTTCTAAAGATAATTTTATAACTGTCTTATTAAACAATGCTGTTGTGATAGTCTGTACTTGGTGATCATGCAGTTATGCTTCACATTTGCTCAGTGTGAACTACTACTACCTCTGTTAGGCTGCACTTTGACAAAGTTGTGCTCTTTAAAGTCAGTAGGATTCATCCTGCGGTGACCATGAATTTCTGGAACAAACTTCCTGACAGTCCAGTTGTTGTTGAGATATTTCAGTTTGGACTAATGTGGTGGAGGGACAGGTGAACAGAAATGCTTTTCCATCTTAAATCTTCACAAAAAGCTTGCATGCTTCAGGTGAAAAACTTAAAATGTGACAAACAGGAGAGACAAAAAAACAGACCAAAATGTCAGAATTGTTTGGAGCAATGAGGAAACCGAAACCTTCTGCACATTAGTACACGAAACAAACGAAAATGCCATCCTTGCAATTAGCTCTCCCAATATTTGCATAAAACTCGAGGATGGAAAAGACCATTAATTCACCTTTTCTTCAAAATTCAAAATGGAAAACCAGCTATTAGCACATGAACCACTCTGAATTATGGCTGCGACTGTGCTTAATTAACCTATCGCAGGTAGTTGGAGTGGCTCAGGCTATCAACAAGAAATGTGGGGAGGACGGTGCCTTCACTGAACAGGATGAAAAGGTTTGTAAAGTCTTCCGTCTCACTTAAAAGGATCTTAAATTTAGAACCGTTGATAAATAGCCATTGTCAAGATGTTAATTTGTACTAAGTGTTGGACAAACCGACTGACATCTATTAACAGGAGGAACACTGTGTCTCAGATATTCTGCAAAATGGAACTGTCTTCCTTTACCTCAATCCATCTTTCTCCACCTTTGTGTCCTTCCTCATGCCATCTGTCATCTGTCTGTGTTCACTTCCGTTCTCTTTTTGTTCTCTCCTTCACTGATGTATCTTTTTTTCCATGTAGCAGTCTTGTCCTTTTTTCACAGATTTCGCTCTGTTCCTCCCCAACAGGACTTCTCGGCTTATTTGGCCTTTTCGGGCATTGTGCTGCACAACGCACAGCTGTACGAGACGTCACAGCTGGAAAACAGGCGCAATCAGGTGGGCGTTAATGTGTGTTACAGGAGGTTTGTTCACGTACAGGCACAGCTCAGTGCATGATGTGTGTGTGTCTGTGTATGCAGGTGTTGTTGGACCTGGCCAGCTTGATCTTTGAGGAGCAGCAGTGCCTGGAGGTTTTACTGAGGAAGATCGCAGGAACCATCCTGTCCTTCATGCAGGCTCAGGCTTGTACCGTGTTCATCGCCGACGAAGACTCAATGGTCAGTGCAAACACGCGCACGGACACTTAATCCCGACAAGCTCACACTTGTAGTGACTCCATCTTCAGAATGTGCTTTTGTGATAGACTGTTTGAACCCAGCGCCACCAGACGGGATGATAAATTCGTTAGTGAGTTTATCTGGTTACACTTGCTGCCCTCAAACGCCCAACAAAGCAGTTGTATGATCCATTTCATTACAACACATGAAGTAGCTCAGGTCGATGCTAAATATAAGCCTGTTACATCCACGTATGTTCCCTAATGGGTGTAAATGATTACCGTCCCAACATCTTATTCGGGTTTTCTCATTTGTTTAGTTTGTGGGATAAATTTGCAAGTAACCGCTGACGATGCAAATGCTTGGTCACATGATCAGATGTGCGTCTTGTTGTTTGACTGATATGAATCACTTCAGTGTCAGTAGCTTGGCAGTAGAGATTTCAAATGGCAAGTGTGCTGATCAAACATCTTTATCCATATTAAACTGCTTAAACACCTGATTTAAACCGGTGCTATTTGCAATCAACATTTGCCTAATTCACACAAAGCTGGTGAGAAAGAAAGTGATGATTTGGCAAATTTTTAGACCTCATGCAAGCGCCTTATTTCAGTTCCAGGAGTGCAGCGACAGTTGCACAGCAGTAGGTCTTTGGCACAAGAAACTGTGTGAGCTTCTCCAAACTCACCTGTTATTTCATCTAAGAGTCGAAAAGAAGTGGCTGAAATAAACCGAAGGGAGCGGTGGTTAATAAATTCACTCTTTGCCAGTCCTATCACTGGTCTCATCACTCTGAAACATCTGAGGCAATCGCAGCGGCACACGGTGACGCTGAATGAATGGAGAGAGGCTTCTCGAGAATTTTTTATTATTGTCGAAATGGTGCAGAGCTGCACAACATGAATTCATCACACCTCACATCAGTGTCATCGTCACACACTTCTGGAATAAAACGCAAAATGTTACTTCGACTGAAAAGAGGAGAAGTTGGAAAGAAGGCAGAGATACACAGGATTGATGAGCTGCTGTGATTTGACATCTTCCACATAAATAACGTTGTCAGACAGACTCTGATCCAGGTGTAGAAATCGTTTTACGCCTTGATTTTGAGGTCCTGTTTTGGTATGATTTTGCTGCATCGAAAACAAGAAATACTGCATCTTTTTTCTTTTTTCAAAATTCAGCACTGGTGAACTGAGCAGGCTATTGGTGTGCCTTTAACATAAACAACCTTCAATACTGCTGGAACTGGCTGCTAATAGAAAAGAAAAATGTGCAAAAGTGAATCACCCCAATCATTCGGTTTGGCCTGAATTAGTAGCAGATTAAATGCAAACACACACCACACATGCAAAGAAGTTCAGCATGTGCAAAGGCAGCATTTGCTCAATACACATGCGCGCCGAACCGAAAGGCCCACACTGAAATGTATGTCGTTGCAAATGGAGTTACGGTATAGCAGCCTTGTGTCATCGCAGGTGTTTTAGTCAAGGTGGACACAGTAGATGGTAGCGCATAATTGTTTGAGCTCCGGTGCATAACTTCTCAAACCAGAGGCGGCAGATCAATCAACATGCCAATTTTAACGCAATCAGACTGCAAAGGTAGTGGGAGACTCGAAATGGACATGCATTGTGCTAAGTGAGATACATGCTAATGTGTTCATAATAAAAATGTTAACAGGGTGCTATTTAGCAGGTGTAATGTTTACGACCTTAGCGAGGTGTATCAGCATGTTAATATTTGCTCATTAGCAGTAAATACAAGGAGGGCTGAGGTCCATGATGAAGGGATGAACTAAACTATTAGACATATTCAATTTTCATTTGATGATGATAATGAGGATGACTAGAATAGTGCTGGATTTCTTTTTTTTTTTATTTGAGTACATGAATAGAATTATAAGTCACAATGATAAACATGATGAGTTTATTAACACTAAAGAGGAAAGTGGAAAACAATATCAGTGAAAATCAACGACAAAATAAAACCAGAATTAAACAGAGAAGTAGATGGAGCGACAAGAACATCTTTAATTCAAGGGAACCATTGAGAAGGGACTTTCAACATGAAGCAGACACCTACAACTGGTAGGGAATAGGAATGATAGTTTATGTAGCTTTAATAAAGTCTTGTGGATCCAGGACATTACTCAGTGCAACACTAAGTTTTGTCGGACACCCCTAGGCAGCAGAGTTTGATTATTAGTGACATAACTATTGATTTGGGGTATTTTGCTATCAGACTTTATGGGTGAAGTTTTTTTTCCCTCACCTGCATCTCTTCTCCTGGACTATTCTAAGGATCAGTCGCTCACATTATTATTAAATACTTCTTATAACAATTAAAATGAGCAGTAATAACCTATGAGATATACCAGTCTCACTGTAGCTGGTAGCTGAAGATTGGTAACGATGGTCTAGCTCAGTGGTTCTCCAACATCTTTACACCTGTTTGTAGCTGTGTGAATCTTCATAAACAGCATTAACTCCAAGGCACACAGTTTGAGAATCACTGCTCTAACTCACTGCACAAACTCTGGTATAAATTTGGAACATAGGCTGAGTGTTGAAAGCAAGTACGAGGACCCTACTTCCTTAAAAGCAGTGTTTTGTATCAGTTTTACTCTGAAATAACTTGAAAGGTGTGTAAGCGTCGATTTAAAATTTGTGACTCAATTGGCTGTAGTTATCAATGAAATACAGCAGATTGCATTCTGAGTTTTTCATCAGAAAGTATTGCACTGTACATGCTGCTTCACCTTTTTTGTTGTGAGGACACCAAAGCCCAAACGCCAGACTGTAAAGGTGCACAATGTGATGCACAGCCTTTATTTACTGTCAGAGAGAAAATATGAGCTGATAAATCAGCCTGCGGGTATACAGATAAGCAGTGAATAATTAATGATTTAGTGGCACAACAAAGACAAAGTAACAAGTGAGCATTTCTTGCGGACACAGTGTGCATACATTATGCTACAGGACACAAAGTCCCCAGAGAATGAGATGCCAGGATCAAAATGAAAACGTGACACATGCACAAAGTGAAGGCAAGGTGAAGCTGAGTGACAGCTCACAGAGGTAAACAAAGCCATCGTCTCAAACTTCACTGTCAAACACAGACTGTGTGTTTTGTCTTCTTGTTTGTCTGCTATCATTTGCCATGAAGTCGTTTCCTTTGTTTGACTTTCTCACTGACTGTAGATGATGAATTAAATCAAGGTAATTTATAGAGTTTTATGAAGGGTGAGTTGTTTTTGATGATTTACTGTATATAGAAATATAATATGCAGCAGGAGTCCTTAGAGATATAATATCATCTTAAATATAAAATGGTTAAATATCACAGAATATAAGATAAAACTTCCTCCATCTGTACTTTCCTTGCTGGCTTTTGCCAAGTAAAAAGTCAAATTTAGTGTAATAAATCAGAACACTTTCAAGTTGTGCTTAAGCTATTTTTTCCCCCAAGATTTCATTCTTGGTTGCTTCATAAAAGTGGTCATTTATTTTTTATTTTTTTGTTATTTTGAATTGTTATTTGGAAGCCACAGCCATTACAGAAGTAACATCAGCTATTACTTCAAAACTGACCACTTTTTGCTTTTTCCCACATGCTGGGTTGCCTCTGAGACTCAGAGAACCGTGTCAGGTCTACAAACACAAAGCTGCACTTTGCTTTTCCATTGCAGTCTTTTTTTAACTTCTTGTGATTACCTCCCATGACCTTGGATTGGCTCACTGTTTATTTATTAGACATGCTGAAGCATAGCTGCTCTAATTTTCTTATCTCCACATAAATGTTTGTCATCCATCCATCATCTCTACACCGCTTAATCTGCGGTGTAGATATCCCAGCTGACTTAGGGCGAAGGCAAGGGACACCCTGGACAGGTCACCAGTCTATCACAGGGCTACACTTAGAGACAGACAATCAAGCACACTCACATTCACACCTACGGACAATTTAGAATCACCAATTAACCTCAACATGTTTTTGGACTGTGGGAGGAAGGTGGAGAACATGCAAACTCCACGCTGAAAGATTCTGGGCCCCCACTGGGACGCGAACCAGCGACCTTCTTGCTGCGAGGCAACAGTGCTACCAACTGCACCACCTTGCAGCCCCATGTTTGTCATTGTTTACAAAATGATTATTTTTTTTCTTGAAATTACAGCTTTGTTTATTCCAATTTTGAGAAAATCCTTATGTTCTCTCGTACAGTCAGATTTTGTAAAAGGATACGGTTCAAGTACTATATTACAAAATCCACTGTTTGAACAGAACTGCTGTTTCTCTGGAGATCAGCAACTCAGTTAAAAGACGATTTACTCGTTTATTCAGCAAGAAGCTGTTGAATTTAACGTGGAGAACATTAATACTGTGATATTCCTCCAGCAATTATCCGTATAAAGATTGCTGTCATTAACACTATTGTTACATCAACATCACTGGGTAATGCTAAATTAGCTTACATTTTTAAAGAAATGTTCTGACTCATCAGATTTAGACTTCGGCTATAAGCCTGGAGCTGGCAACGCATTTTGCGGCGCTATCGCCTTCCCTTCCATTATCTGTGTTACTGTTTTCAAAATCCCCTTCACTGCGGGAAACAGCAACAACAACATCCAGGTGGAACCTATGTGCGACATTTTCAAGTTTTGCCAAAGGTTTTTGTAAATCATTCATTTTAATGACTCCCTACATGCAAATATTCCATCAAAAACAATTCTCCCGTCACTATTTTGGGTGAAACCGTCAGTGCATGTGGTTTTTACCCCTAACCAAGTCGATTATAATTATTTTACAAACCTTTCTCCTTATAGCATGAATGCTGAAGTGGTGCAGCCAGACCATTCTACACAGGGCCATATCAGCCCTAGAGAATAACCTGTAGATAGTATTGCATTATTTTTTTAAAACTTATTTTGTTTTAGTTTGTTTTAGAAAAGTAGATCGTCAACAGATATTTTATACCACAATTTTTGATCACTTTAAGG